TATTTCGTCTGATCTCTTGACTGCTGCTTGCACGAGTGTTGATAGTTGATCCAAGAAGAATGAAGTCCTTGACAACTTCAATCTTTTCTCCATTGATAAGGATGTTGTTTGTTGGTCCAGTGGTGAGGATTTTTCTTTTCCTGACATTTCCTCTAATTTGGAGGTTTCTAAATACATACAGCACTCAACAGGTAAAATTCACTGTGACCAGCTAGAATCTTACAAAAAGTTACCAATAATGCAAAGTAACGGAAATAAATTATCCATGTTAAGTAGAAAACAACAACAACACAGAATTGGTAGAGTTATTTGTGATACTAGACAACGACATTAAAACACTTATTATAGTACGAGCTGGGCTGCTCCATGGGAGGAAGATGAGGCTTTCTGCTCCCACAAAGATTCACTGCCTCGGAAACCCTAAACAGGGTCGCTATGAGTTGGAACTGACTTGACAGCACTCAACCAACCATGCTTAAGAAACTAAGAAATGATGGACTATGTTAGAGACAAAAATGCAGATACAAAAAAAGGTCAACATTGATAATGTTTGAGGCAAAAAATACACTAACAGCAGATAATACATAACAGAAGAAAAGACCAGTAAACTTAAAACACAGCATTAGAAAATATTCAAAGCTAAATGAACTGTGGTACAACTTCAAGTAGCCAATATATGTGTAATTGGGAAACCTGAAGTAGAGGAGGTTGGGAAGGGGACAAAAAATATTTGAAGAAGTACTGACTGTAGTGGTTAAGCATTTTCCAATTTTAACTAAAACTGTAATGAATCCAAGAATCTCAAGAATCCCAGGAACAAGAATTGTGAAGAAAACTGCGTACACCAATTGTGAAGAAAACTGCGTACATCATACTCTTAGGTCTCAAAACATGAGGAAAAGAGAAAATACTAACTGTAGTAAGATTAAAAAAAAAAAAAAAAAGACACTTAAAAAAAAAAAAAAAAAAAGACACTTCATGAAAAATAATGACAACATTCTTATGGAAAACAGTACATATCAAAAGGGAGTAGAATAACATTTTACAATACTAAAAGAAAAAAAAAAATGTCTATAATTGTATATAGTTATGTGCCATGGAACCGGTTCAGACTCATAGTGATACTGTATAGGGTTTCTGAAGCTGAGAACTGTATATACACAATAAAATTAACTTTCAATAATAAAGATAAAATACAGATTCTTTGAGATATAGAAGCTGAAAGAATTCATCATTAGCAGTCCTGCATTACAAGGAATGTTGAAAGTAGCTCTCCTGGAATAAAGAAAATGATACCAGATGGGCACAAAGGGCTGGAAAAAATACTGAAGTATAAATAGATGTCAAAAAGTAAAATAATTTTCTTTTTAAAAATACTTCCTTAAAAATAATTAACTCCTTAAAGGAAAAATAGTAATTTACTGTGGGGCTAATAATTCATGCAGCAACAAAATCTAGGACAAAAATAGATAAATCCTGTTGTGTTAAGCTAATTTTGACTCCTAATAGGTTAGGACAGAACTGTTTCATACAGTTTTTTAGGCTGTAATCTTTAACTAAGCAGATCAGTCACTGGTGAGTTCCAAATGTCAACATTTTGATTAGCAGCAGAGCAATTAACCATTGCACCACCAAAGCAAACAGTGCTAGGAGGAAGAAATGGAAGCACACTGTTGTAAACCACTGATGCTATATATGTGAACTGGTATAATAGTACTTAAAAGCTGACTTTGATAAGCAAAGAATGCCATATAAACCAGAATTTCTTTCTTTTCCTTTTTATTTTTTTCCTGTTCCAACCCCCATACAGCCTATTTTATTAAAAATTCAAGTTACACACGATTGTTCATGATAACAATTGGGCTTCACTTTGCAATGTGCATCAAAATATTTTCGTAATTAAAGTACCATTGTGTCAAACATGTTTTAAGGTACTTGGAAGTGTTTTTTACGCATAAAAGGGTACATAATAAATATATGAAGGAACTTCAAAAATTTGTTGAAAAGGTGGAATTGAAAGATAATTGATTTTTTTTCTGCAAACTTTTGGAAGTCCCCTTGCACAATAAGACAAACATTTGACTAGCAAATGTTAGATATGAACTATACCTAACTGTTTCAAATTAAATGTATATTCTACTTAATGACAGATTTAGAAATGAAACTTATTTGTAATCCAAGGACTGCCTGTATATACTATGGTATTCACACAATGTTCAAAGCATATAACATCCTATTTCATAGTGTTATCGTGGACAGTAAGTGAAACTATAACTAAAATGTTTGCAGACATTACCAAAAATCTCTTGGGCAGCAAAACCACCCCTAATCAAAAACACTATATAAATTCTAAAGGAACAACCAGGAAAATACAACAAAGAGTTATATGTAATATACCAACAAAAAAGATGAAATTGAATCATTAAGATAAAAACCCAAGCACTCAATTAATCCAAAAGAAAACACAAATCAATTGCCATCAAAT